TTTAACAACTGCAGTGATTCACTTAACAAATGTGGCAAGAAAAGTCATAAAATGAGGCAAAAGTCACTTAAGAAATTTCTCACTTAGCAACATGAATTTTGAGCTCGACTGTGGTTGTAAATTGAAGACTACTTCTAAATAGGAGTTCTGACAAATTATTTTGATACATCCTAGGTCCTAGGATTATATTGCACAGTTGTGGCAAATCTCGGTGAAGGCCTGATAAATCTGTCTCTAGGATTCTACCAAATAGACATGTTGAATTTTTTTTTAATTTTTTTTTAAATCTCAATGGAATTAAAATAAATGAATGCTAATTTAAGAAACATGTTATGGAATGTTAACAGCAACAAGATCCGTGATTCGGTAAAAACAAGGAAGTGAGATGGGAAATCTGAATGCCATTTTAGTGAATGCTGATTCAAAGTTCAGAGATCAGCCTTCCATCTTTGTGAGGTGGGTAAAATGAAGACCCAGATTGTTGGGGGTAATATGCTGCCTTTGTAAACTGCTTAGAGAGGGCTGTAAAGCACTGTGAAGCGGTATATAAGTCTAAGTGCTATTGCCAGGGCTTTTTTTCTCGGAGAAAAGGTGGCGGAACTCAAACCTGGCCACGCCCTCATCAAACCCTAGGACCGCCCCTTTAGAGAACAGGAATGCAAGTAAAATTTGGGAGGGGCTATTTCCGGTGTGGGAGGGGCTATTTCCGGTGCGGCCNGCCCGGAAAAAGGTGCCGGAACGCGGTTCCGCCGCGTTCCGGCTGAAAAAAAGCCCTGGCTATTGCTATTGCTATAACATGTAGATTGTTCTTTTCAACACTATACAAATGATAAAGATTGCATGTTTAAATGATCTTTCATTTACACACATGGAAGACAAGAATGTAAAGGAAAGACTTTGAATCTGATGTTCTCTCAAAATTCTGGTCTTACATCTCCAGCAACTCTGAACAAAACAAATGACTGCATTGCTCTTTATTGCTTGTAAGCTATTATAATTTAAATAGGATCAACTTCAAGTGCCTTTTATATTTAATTTGGTTTTCCTGTTTATAGCCCACATGAAATGAGATAAAATATAAGTATATAATGCCATACGTATACATACACAATACACACACATATATGTACAAATAAAATATTATGTCTGTAGTCATGCTGGCCACCTGACCATAGAAGTGTCTTCGGACAATGGTTAAAAAAGGAGATGAGTGTTGCCCTCTATAGAGACAGACATGACTGGACCTTTTAATGTTCATACGTAAACTAGACTAAGCACTAGCATCTAGCCAACCTTAACTGATTTCAAAAAAATAAGTAAGCAGGGTCAGATTAATTAGAGTAAGAATGGAAATCACCAGTAAATTCCAGGGCTGTAGGCTAGACAGGGAGTTCATAAACTGTTTTGGAATACAGTAGAGGCAAACCATGTTGTCCCATCATCACTAGTTGAGCTCAACTGAAGGAAGTCTTTTATTTTTAATGGATAGTTATTTTTTATTTACTCTGAAACAGGGATTTTGTTTTTCTGTGTTAGCTGATGGTGTCAAGCTGAAACTGGTTTACACCTGAAGTACTGTTTTTACTGTGCAGTAAATGTATTGTTGCATAGAAGAATATTCAAATGTTCAAGGTCATAGCAATACACACTTTTCCTTTCTAAATTGATTTAGACCTAATAAAATGTATGACTTGCTTTGGATATGTTCTTCTGAGGTCATAACTATCATGCAGCAAAAATGAAGCCATGTGATCCAGATGGGGGATGTAAGGAAAAATTGGAGTCAAAATGATGCAGCAAGTCTCTAGAAGCTTGGATCTGAGCTGAGGGAGAAAATGACATTTGAGATCCAATTTAGGGAGCAAATGTCTTCAGCTAGCATTGGCACTTAGTAGGTAATAGCTTGTCTTCCTAAAAGTTTATTTATTTAACTAAACCAGCAGATGTCTATGCCATTAAATCATAATTAATTCACAGTGGTTTAATAAAATACAAAGCACACTAAAATATATAGTAACAAGAAAAAATAAAGTAATTGATTTTATAATTTGTAATTTATTATAATTTTAATTATGAGGTATTTGTTAATATTCCTACTATAATGAACTATATTAGTATTGTAACCACCGTTCAGAAAATGACATTCTTTAAAATATGGAAGAAATGCATATTTTAGGTGCCTAGTAATTTAATATAGGATTATTTAAAACTAAACAAAAATTGCTTAATTCTGGAGGCTATACGCGTAGATAGTTTTTACTTGCTTCAAGTCAAATTTCTCTTCAATAAAAACAAAATTTGGCGGCCATTCACTTGTAATGGTTTAATTAAAATTGTGTCCAGTTTTTCAGTTGCTTTTGTGTAATTACTATCCATTCCATGGAATTGGTGTCAAATGCCCACAGAAGAATCTTTCCAAATATCTAATTTAAAATAATCAAAAGTATAACCATCCAGGAATGCTAAATTCTTGAGCACCTCTTTAGCTTCTTTGTGAAACAAATTCTAAATCATTTCTGACGTCTGCCGAAAAAGAAATTGCAATGATTAAATGGGGCTTTCATACTGAAAGCATCTTTACTCTTTTTAGGGGATTTTAGCCATTTTAAGGTATTTGAGACATTTTCTGGTTTAATTCACATATATGAAGTACACTTTGAGTGATAAGAGGTAGCCTAGGGATCTCAAAAATATGACCAGTAATTTAGATTAACAAGATTTTGTCTAAACTTTATATTGTCATGATTTTTCCACTTTTTGAAATTGTCAGAATTACTCAAGGTGAGTTCCCATCCTAATTATTTATATTACACTTTGGAATGAGGTTGCCTTCAAGTCAGTGTTGACTTCTAGTGACCGACTGGGCACGTCCCTGCAGTTTTCTTGGCAAGTGTTCCAAAGTTTTCAGTCTTTCAGAAGTTTCCCCAAAATTTCTGAGAGAGAGAGAGAGTGACTTTGTGCTTAATCAGGACTAAAACTCACCACCTCTTGGCTTTTAGCTTAATGACTCCACCAAATTAGCTCACATTACACTAATACAAATCCTATTTTATTATAAGATTATTGAAAGAAAATAACAAGAATGGGCTTATAACTCCTCAGATCTAGCACGTAAGAATAAATAGGGTTAATAAGGGTTAATTAAGTCAAAGACAGTTTTGTTGGGATTAATATTAATGTTGTTTTCAGAGTCATCATATGGTGGAATTCCATGCTATTAAAGACAAGTTCGTATGAGATTCACTTGTAGCGATGCTTTTCAATTTATCAGAATATTGCTGTTAGAATCCATTTTTAGTCAGGGGAGAATGTTTAAAAATTAAGGTAAGGAATTAAAACGTAATTTGGGAATTACTATTTTTATTAGAATTTTACAATACAGTAAAATTACAAAAGGAAAAAGAAAACAAAATAAGAAGATTGGGAATTACAAGGGGCATCAGAACTGCACTAAATAGATCTCCACTAAATAACTACGATGGAGTTACCCCCAGACAGGTGTTGATCTCTGCACATGTTTACCTGATTGCCAAGTTATTACACAGGTAGTTGAACTTTGAGGTTATCAGTAAACATAGCTCATATATTTTCATCTCAACATGGACTAGTTAATCAGAATACAACAGTGCCTCTTTGTCCCATGTAGCATGATGGATTTTTGCCCATCAGATCTAAGCCAGTCAATTAACTAAGATGTTCTATGCATGTTCATTCCTTTATTCATAACAAAACTAGGGATATTGTTTGTCCAGTCAAGCTTATAACAATTTTTGTGCCCAGATACTATTTGCCTTTCTTGCAGACTTGTGTTTGAATTTGACCATCAACTTGAGCTAGATTCTGTATGTATTCCAAAACAAACTGGGAGACAATCACTTTAGGCTTATTTGTATATGCATATGTAAATATATTTAACAACTGCATTTAAATTCAGATCTATTTTGTGACAGTGAGGGTGAAATTAGTGTATTCTTCTCAGTTTGGTCTGATTTCTTATTCGAAAAAGGTCCTGGTTCAAGAGCTCTCAGAGAAGCTCTTTGTTTCAAGCATTCTTCTCTGAAGGGCTAGAAGATAATATTTATTGGATGGCATCTTCTTTTTCAACAGTTTTTTAATTATGATCTAATTTAAAGGCAAAGAACAATATGAAGAGAGATTAATTTCCCACAGCAGGTGGTTTATGCCCCCACCCACCTTTCTCTTTCTCTTTCTTTCTTCCTCTTTCTCTCTTTTTTGGCTGATATGTAAGTGTACACTCTAATTCATACTACTTAATCTGCCACAGGTTATTCTGAAGAATTCTAGACAATATAATTTGTGAACTAATTATTGAGAAATATGTGTTGTTGTGCTGCCTCACTTACACACCCCACAGTGAGTCAATGGATTTTATTCAGGCCCCCCCAGCAATTCCAAGAAAGCCCATACAACATGTATTTCCAGCTGCCATGCTCAGCAACATTGGAGCGATACCAGAATCCTTGGCAAAACTCAGTCCATAAATACAATATACAGTCGAGAGTCCCAAAACACAAGTTCAACATACACGAAACAGGAACACAGAACAAGGAACTGGACACGTTCCAGTGACGCCCATCTCTTAGGGTGGTATTAAATAGGCAATGCCTATTCTGGAATTAGAATTAAGTCAAATGTGTAGTTTTTAGAGTGAGATAGAATAATGCTGGGTTAAGTATAGGTAATTTTTTTTTTTGATCGGAGCACAAGATGTAGAGAATCAGTTCCTAATAGTTTTTCTGAAGTTATTTCAATACACACACTATAGATACAGCTGTTACTGCATTTGTTCAAGTTATTTGAAATAGTTCTGGGTTGTTCATTTTAACCAAAGTTAAATTTCAGCGTTTAAAAACTTGTTTTATTATTATGTAGACTTTAGTTATTTGTGTATTTGTTGCCAATCACTGCATTTCAGCTAGAACAACACAGACTGAAATTAAATTGAAAGTGTGCTAATGTCTTGCTTTTTCTTTTATCAGGTGCAAGTGTAATCTTCATGCCACTGGCTGCAGAGTTGAAAATAAAAAATTATTATGCGAGTGTGAACACAATACTACAGGCCCAGACTGTGGGAAATGTAAGAAGAATTATCAGGGACGTCCTTGGACTCCAGGTTCCTATCTGCCCATTCCTAAGGGCACTGCAAATATCTGTGAGTACTTGTGCACAATGTTACAGCTGTAAAACTGATAATTGGGACCTTGTGGGTTAAAAAAAAAAAAATCAAAATTCAGACCCAAACTTAGAGCATGTCTGAGATGCTAAAGCTTATTGGAAAATTAAAATCTTTATGGTTTGCCCAGTGTTATGCATCTTTACTTATTTGGAATATGTGCTTTGGGCTATGTTCTTGGATAATGATGCAAAAGAAATTATCTGCTCAAATAAATTAGCAAGGAAATTGTGACAGCTCTCTTCTATTTTATCAAATTTGCAATGGTCACACACATACCCCACACACAGAGAGAGACCGCACACAAATACAGAGTTACATGTAAGATATACATTTTTCTTTATAAACATAGAACTTAGGAGAGCTGAGATAGTATTAAATGTCCAAAACTTTAATGAACTGAATTTTAAGCTAAATTTCTTCAGCCTTTATCTAAGTACTACTCAACATTGGCTCATATGTGGTTGTCAAATTCTGATCTTTAAATAAAAGTGCAGAAATTGTTCAGTTTGATACTCAATACTTTGTTATAAGGTCAGCGATCCCACCATTTTCTGTGATTCTGAAAGTGTGTGAGCCAATTATGCAAATGTTATGGCAACTTCCTAACCTGACTAACAAATGTATTGCAAATGTCTCGTCATGTGACTGTACTGTTCTTTACCCAAGAATGTGTCAGTGTTTTCACATGAATTTTATTTATAATGCAGTATTAAATTGCTCGACTGAGGACAACTCGTCTTTTTATGAGGTTAGATAGCCTGAATAGGTTAAAAATTCTTTATTTTTTAAGAATGTTTTTAGATCAACTATTATAATTCACCACTGAATGAATCATGCATGAGCCCATCATTTTTGCTAGTCTTAAGACTTTTTGTTAAATTTTGACCAGTTTCAGGCATTGTTTATCATAGAAATGTGTTTTATTTTCATCTGTGTGTCAATTAGCTCTTAAAATCATGGTGTAATGTTCCTTAGAATGGATCTTATGTCTTCTAAATATCCTTATGTTCATATAGTTACTACTACTAAGAGACATTTTATTCCTCCAGCTTCCAAATATCAATTATTCTTGTAGGATAATTCTTGTAGGATTATTTAGCTTAGGGGTACATTCAAAATTAAGTACTGACAACCTAATAATTTTGATGAGAGAGATAAAAGATGGAGTCCAATTCTCCAAATCAATGGGGCTTAATATATTTTCTAACACTTCCTATACATTTCTCTCTCTCTGTTTAATAGGAGTACTGAGAGTAACACAGTATAAATTGCAGACAAAAATGAGAGGAAAAGGCATTCAAATATGATATCTGTCAATGTTTTTGAATTCCTAGTAATCAGATTTGCAAACTCTTGAACGGAGGAAAAAATAATAGCAAAGAATTAACCACCAAACCCTACCATGTAAATTTATAATTTTGTAAGTAGTCAAGAGTTATCCTGTATAAGTTGGGCAGCCATATGTTGAATAAATAAATAAAATTAAAATTTGTAATTTATTTATGTATTTATTTGTTATATATAGCTCACATATGCGACTTTAAGTGGCTTACTATGAAATAAATAACATACATAAAATACAAAGTATAAAAAAATAAAAATAAAACACAAAGCAGCTGGGCATCACCCAACCAATTATCCACCCAAGGAGATAAGCTCCATAACATGTCCAGGGTCCCAGACAAAGGCCGTAAAGTACATTTTCAAGGCCTTATGGGAGGCCTGCAAAGACAGAACCAATCTAATTCCAGGGGAAATGATCTTCCAAAGGATAGGCACCATAGCAGAAAAGTAGGTCTGGGCCCTACCAGCCAATGCTCCTTCACTGACTGTACCCAGAACATGATTGCCTGATAAATTGGATAGGATGAATAGAGATAGATGACATTTTATAAATATTTAATAACTCTGGTTTGTATAAAATTCAAACACCAAATTTGAAAATAATTATTGAGTGAATAATTGCCTTGAAGAAATGGGTGGTTCTGTGATTTACATAGAGCTGAGGGTGGGACTCTTGCTGAATAATTCTGTGAACACTAAAAGATTGCCAGTATGCTCTATGTGGTCTCATAGTCCATCTGTATGAATTCACAGATGTCCACTCAGCTGCAACAAAAGGTAAGTACTAATTCTTAGTGTGCTTCAGGTTTATGGCAAAAACAGCAATGTGTCATATTCGGAATGTTATCTCACACTTCAAAGCAACAGCTGTGAGGAAGCAAGCCTCACAAATGAATATTTCAGGAAAGAGAACCTTACCTAGCTTAATGTAAAAGTCATAGTCTAAGTAACAAGCCATGATGAGAGCATGAAATTATAAAATTCCTACCAAGCAAGATGAGAAAAAGTGAACCTTCAAAAAGAATGAGAAAATACTTTATAAAATCATTAACTTCTAGGCTAGGAAAGGACACTTTAGAGTTTAGACCAATGAATTAAAACTTAGAAGCTGTGTTCAGACTAGTCTCTTAAACATTTAAAAAAAATATGGGATTGTTTTTTCCTCTCTCATAGGATTCTGAATTTAACTCACCTTGAGTGAGTTAAGGTGTAGAAAATTCAATTTATCTCCACTAATTTCTATGATACCTCCCAATTATTCATTCTAGTGAGGGGAATGTCTTTTAGAAGTTCCACCCATCTTATCAAACCCAATTTATACATTACAAAACTACCATCTACTCCCAAAAGCAGATAACTGATTGGATTTTTCCTAAAGGTGACAGCAGGATTTCTCAAGGTAGAAAGCTGGTGTATGCTATCAAAATTTGATCGAGTAACATTCAAAATGAAATTTGAATAGAATTTCAGAATAGCTGCTGTATCTATATAAACAAGGATCATTAGGTATTATGATGGCGAGAGATAGAGACCAATCCCATTTATTTTATCTATCTTTGGCTACAGTTAATTAAATGGGTTAATTGGGTTAACTTAAATGGGTAAATGGTCAAGCCTTGTTGAAAGTCAGCTCCTTAGAAATCTCTTGATTTGGTACTATTCTTATTCATATATTAATATTGAAGGAAATGGCACAGTTTGTAGCTTACAGTACCATATATGTCTCAGAAAAGAAATTAACCAAATTTAACTAATTACTTTGATTGGAATGCGTTTTGTTCTACATCTGCATCCAACATACTACATGGACAATGCTTTATCGGATATCTATTGGAAAGCCTTTGAGCAATATCCTACTGGATACCTGTTATTGAGTTACAGGACTGCAAGAAAAAAATGTAGGGGTCTACGGCTATAGGTTATAGCTAATGGGAGGCAATGAAAAATCCATAATGATTTTAAATTTGCTCTTGAAGCACACTGAACATAATACTCAGATTGAAACATAGGATTAACTATTCTTTTATTATTCTGTTCTGGTATTTAATGAACATTCTTTTTCCTTTGCGGATATAATGATGAACCAATTGATCTGACATATTCAGACTGTCTTTCATAAATGGTATTCTCTGTGGCTTTGCAGGCTTTAATTGGCTCCTTTTCTCTTTAGAGTGGGCAAGCAACTACTGTACTCTAGTCCCATTCCTGTGAGAAAATGCCAAAAGAATGAACGGCCTAAGAATGTATTAAACACACCATGCAGAATTCACTTTTGAGCTATTTAGCTATTTCATAAAATTACTGCTCATTCAAGCATTAGTATTCTCTGGATACACAATAAGGGTGTGTAGTCCTCCTCCACTTGAGTCATGTTGGCGATACCTAACAAGGCAAAATATCTGTGCACACATGTAAATCTTTGTAAGAAGAGAGCCTACATGTGTACAAGTGTACATAGTTTACATCTGTATATACATCTGTATCCAAATTTCTTTTTCTGGCAAAGAGATTGTAAAAAAAAAGTAGAACTGCAGTATAGCAGTCAAAATGCCAAGGTGTGGCAGAACATTCCGTGCTAACATCGGTCTATTCAGCCATCTACGGACACACCGTTGATGACCCACAATCCACAAGATGTCAAGGTCTTCATCGAAATCGATGGACGAACAACATATATACGACTGTGTAAAATACAAGTGTATAGTATATAGGTTTCACACAAGCCAGAGATTATTTAAAATGCTTGGCTTTGGCTAATTCTGTCATTTGATTCTTGATACTTATTCTTCATCTTGATATCGGTGCAGCCATGTAAAAGCTCTACTGGATTAATGTCAACATGTTTCCATTCCTAACCAATATTTTTTTCTTCTTCTTTTTTTCCAGGTATGCCCAGTATTTCCAGCATTGGTAGTAAGTAATAAAGAGCAGACTTAGGCCGGCTTGGCTTGTTGTCCAGACTCTGAAAATCTATTTTTCCAACATCTATTTCTGTTTTCTTTAATGCCTGCTTTGTGATAACTGGAAAAATAGTATTAACTCCTTCCTTCAACATCTGCACATCATAAATATTTATGTTGGGAGAGACAAAAGCTTTATATGTCTCATAGCACTGCATCTTGCAGCAAATGGATATTCCATGATCACCAAACAAAAGTGTTGGGAAGCTAAGAGATACCAATCAAACTCAGTTAATGTTTTTTCAAAACCGGTATACAGAAAATAAGCTAGCTGCTTAAGATAGCTAAAACAGAATAGGGAGTTATAGGAACTTATAGGAAGTTATATTTAAGTGATTTCTGTTTTATAGTTTTTAAAATTATGTTGCTTCAGTGCTAAAACCACCTGGTAGACTTCTAAGAAGAGTAGCTAGATATTACAAAAATATAATTTAATAATGCATATTTTCCTTTAATCATACAGATTGTAGTTTCGACAATATTTAAGTTATTTCTATTTTTCTTCAAATAAACATTGTTTTGTCATTTCTCCATTGATTTTCCATAGAGTAACCCAGTTGCATAAATAATTTGAATCATTTTTTTTCAATCATGGATTGCTCTAAAAAGTTCCCAATCTGTGGCCCATGAGGTAGTCTCTTGTGTCAATATAAACTAAGATTTTGGCACTTTCACTGTTAATCTCACAAAATTCTTGTAAAAGATTATTATTTTTAATTTTATTTTTAAATGTGGAAATAAATATTTAAATTGTAAGTTTATGAATGCTATTTTAATATAAAATAAATTAAATTGTATTTAATTTTGAAATCCTATGGATGCCATCTAAAATGGTCACATTGACATGGTGCCCCCTGTGGCCAATTGCTGGCTTATCTTGTGGTCCTCAGAGGTTTTTAATGACAATGTTGTGATCCTTATAAAAGAAAAAAAATAAAAACATGGCTTAATTTAAGATTATTTCAGTTAATTTTAATAATATCCTTGTTTTTATATAAAATATTTAAATATAGTCTGTATTGGAAATATTTTTAATACTGTATTTGACTAAGTCAAAAGTTATTTTCCCTAAATCAAGTAATAAATAGTATAACCTTATAGTATTCTTAAGATGCTAAAAGAAACTGCTGGTTATTCAAATTAAGATGATTCAGAGAAGTACATTAATATACAGAATTTAAATATCTACTCAAATTTAGATAGGAACAGGAAGAAATTGAATATGAAATATACTGAACTTGTAAGGGAAAAATGCATTAAAACTGAATCTTGCTAAATAAGATTTATTTATCCACCCAATAAATATGGTTCTGAACCTAAAGGTATCTGAAATATCCTATTGAACATAACTGAAATTTGCCTGGAATGCCACCTTGAATGCATTGTGTACAAAAAGGATGAATGAATAAATAATAGTATTCTACATATATTACTTTTCGTCCCTCTGACTTTTTTTACATTTTAAGACATTTTGCTCACATTTGTTCATGAACTCCTGGGAATAAGTTAGCCATATTGCTTGATCTGGGAGGGGAAGATAGAAGAAAACTAAAGAGAAAGTCAGGAGGAAAATACTATTGTTCCTATATAAAGAGACAAACAAAATTGTCTTAAGTAACAGAAATGGATTTATGGTAAAATAGTTCTTGTGCTTCTGACTGTTGTTACTGTCTTGCATGTATTTATGTGGTTGTAATGTCACCTTACACTCTCATGGAGCTTTTTTTCACTGCATTTGCCATCTCTGAGCATCAGCAGATTATGGCCTTCAGTCTCTTAATAGGGAAACTCAGCCTTAATCAGAGATGATCTGGAAGGATGCCCTGTTGCCTTCTTTGAATTTTGGATGCTTTATACAAAAGAATGATCAGTATCACTTGCTTTTGCTTGAAGGATTTTTAAAGAGATTTTGAAAAGTATCTTCAAAAGGTCAACATCTTTTATGCATTAAAGGTAACTCTAGTTCATGTTTTAGAGTTGCTGGAATATTGTTTATTGATATGATACTCTCACAATGTACTCTATCGAAGAAAACAAAGATCCTTGCCACATTCTGATCCACTGTATTTCACAGTAATGAACTCAGCCTTCTAAATAGATAGGCAATAGATAGTTAGATGATAGACAGACAGACAGACAGACAGAGAATAGACACATAACACTAAGTTATTTACATGATTTCAAGAAGTTTTTTTTTACCTATGCCTACACAGGATATGTATTCCTGTTATACAGATTTTCATATTGTAGAGCAAAATCTTCTCAATATTGCCTGCTTCAAGAGTACATATCTTTATTATTTTGACTTTATCAGTTCAATAGAGAAAAGAGAAAAAAATGAACAGAAACCATTAAGAAAGATTTTTTTAAAAAAAGTAGATGCTTGTATTAAATTACTGAGATTGCAGTGATCAGAAAGAGGCTATCCAGGATCAATAATACACACACATACACAAAAACACACAATATACATATATAATTTCACACATGCATGTACATATATAATGTGTGTGAAATTGTAGAAAATACAGAAGTATAGGGATGCATAGATGTGCATTTGTCTGTATTTTCTCTGATTTCAGTGAAATTTGCAATTACGTAGTATGTGAGAGTGTGTGGCCAAAAAACTTGAAGCATTACATTATGTTTATGTACAGTGCCAAGAATGGTCATTTTGACATCCTTTCTGAGCATCTCCAGGATAATTACAACAGAGTTTTCCCTATTAAGGTCATTTGTACCTTCAATGTCTTTCAGTTGAGTAATACGTACTTGGTCATTTCCTACATACTTGATTCCAATGCTGACCTTTTCAACACTTTTCAGCTCAGGCTGCGGAAAAACAAAAACAAAACAAAACTGGTGAGATGGTTAGCAATTAATGAGTCCCAAAACCAATTTTAGAACACTATGAACCTTTTTTTAAATAAGTTATTTCAACATAACACTCAATACAACCATTTTTAAATGATCACAGTGTAGGCAAATATGTCAAAAATATTTTTCATATTGAATATTAGAGAATAAATCTTGCTCTTTTGTGCTTTCCTTAGATAAGTGTTAGGAAATTAACAATTTCAGAGGTTCAGGCTCTCCTTCCTGTTACAATAGACATAATACAATTGTTCACCAGGCTAATTCAAATTGTTAAGTAGACTGTCATATTTTTGGTTTGTCTGAATATAAGAATTCTCTATCTGGACTGGAAAAGTACCAGGAAAAGCACTATTTTAAGAGTGTCTTTTCCTATATTGCATAGAATATATGAGTTTATTAATGTTACAGAATATTCAGATGCATGACCCTCCCTATCACAAATAGAAAAAGTGCTAAACTGCAAGTTCTTTTTCCATCAAGTACCAACCCATTACACTTTCTCTGCAATAGCCTTATTAGTATTAAAATGATATAATAAATCTTTTTTTTTTATAAAGTGTGAGAAACAAAATCTACCCTTATAGCTTGCAATGCACTCTGCCTTTCTTTCTGGTCCTCTGCCTTCCATCTCTATGTTGTCACTGCCTGTCACATCTGCATAGCTAAACTTGTTATATACCAGGTAAGTATGTTGTCACTCAACACATCTGGCTCCTAATCCTAATTCTCTTCTAGCCCAGATCAAAATAATCTAGTTTGGAAGCCCTGCTCTAAATGAACTGATTCTTAACTAAATACTGCATCTAATCTTCATTGAGTGCACCATAATGTCACTAATTATGCTAAACAGGTAGTTAAAAAGAACATAAGACTGACATGATGCCATGAGCCCTATTAGTAATAAAAGTGTTCTAATATAAGAAAAAATGAGGCATTGAAATACAAAACAAAACTAAAGTCTGAAGCTATTACATTGTATTTTTGTAGCTTTTTTGTTTTTAATTATCCAGTTCAGCTTGTAATTTGTGTCTGATGCTTTCCCCCAATACTAGGGTACATATGAATGGTTCTTTAACAAGTACAGTAATATATGGAAAATATAGGAAACCTGGTTTATATAACACAGATTGTCAGATAAAAAAGAGTAAGGCAGAAACTTTTCAGAGCAGAAACTTGTCAGCTCTGGTCCACAACTTAAAAGCTAGATGTGGCAAGGGAATAAAAATCTATTTCTTTGCCATCCTAACTAAGCAAGCTAGCAAAAGATACAGTAGTGGTTAAGAGCAAAGGGATGGCATGGCAAGTAAAAAGACAGATTTTATATGCCATTGATAATGGAGAGTTACTAATTTATTTTTAATATAACTTAATGGCCAAATTCAGTGGAACATAGAAAATAGGTGGACAGAATTTTTTTAAAAAAAGACAGAAAGAGAATAGAGGTTCAAGATAGATTAAGATCACCTTGGTAACCTTTTGCTCATATCTGTGGTTTCTACAAACTTAGTAAACCCTATCTATAGATCTTCCATCCCATATTTAATTTAAATCTTATAAGCAATATCTTCTCTAAAAATAGACTGTTGCTTTATCTATAAAACTGAGTTATTCATTCTATAGAAAATATTTTTATAATACTAGTTTCAGTATAAAATTATTTGACATTTGCATTTAACTATATACATCTTTATGATCATGCTAACTGAAATAAACTGAAACAGTTAATACTCCCAGTTTATGATACCATTTCCTGATTTCTGTATAACAAAAGACAATTATCCTTTTATTGCATGACTGATTAGCAATTGCTGATTGTTATATCTTCTAGTTAATATATCTGGGGCTGCAAAACTCTGAATGGCCAGTAGATAGCAGTGAAGGCACAGGAAAAAGTCTTTGCTGACATCTAGTGCTTGTATGGATTAGTGCAGCTAATACCAACCTTATTCACAGTGAATCCCTACTATTTAAATGTGAGATAGAGAATAAAAAGCAGACAATTCCATATACTGTAGCAATGCATATAAGGCAAAACTGGTTTATCAGAAATTATTTAACCTATGGTAGTCACTAAGA